TCTCTGTTGCGCACACACACACACACACACACACACACACACACACACACACACACACACACACCATTGTACTTCCATCAAACTGAGGACACTGTATTGACTTCCATTCATTTTTGTAACTGCATTTATGCCAAACCCAGATATTTTCCCTAACATTAACCACCTCTAAACCTAACTAGAGTGCAGTAGAGCTGCAAAATGACCTCACTTTGTTGGTTAAAAACAAATGATGGTCCTCCTCTCTGTAGCTGATACAAGTAGACACACACAAATACTGTATTTAAAAGCCAAGATTCAGTGGAAAAAACAGTAAAACCTACATTACTGTGCAGATGTTTTAAAGTAGACATATCACACTTTTAAATCCTTTTTTCTCACATTTAAATCATTCAGTTAGGGTCTTCATAAAGTGAAACTGCAACGCTTTGGTCTGAATTTCTTCTTATTTTAACTTTACCAGCCCCTTTTTCACCCCTTTTCTAGAGCATCTCAAAGCAGCTGGTTTTGTTGCTGTTCCTTTAAGGCATTTCAAGCCCCGCCCCCCACTCCTGCTTCCAGACCGGTCCACTCCAGTTTGAGAGAGGGGGTTACATTTTCTAGCATTGAAGAGACATTTTATTAACAATTAAATTAAAAGATATCAACAGAAGACTTGTCCATCCAGCCTTACATGTTGGAGCCAGAGTCTGACCAAGAGCCAGAGAAGAATTAAGACGAGGAAATTGTAGTTGGTAAGTGCAGACCGTACTTGGCTGTTCCATTGCAGATAATATGACGTAATAGACTCGGAAAAAACGTAGAAAATAGAGAAAACTGAACGGGCTGAAAAATAAGAGCCAAACAGAATATAAAAATATCTTTGCGGTACCAGTAAAGACTAAATTAAACTTTCAAAGTCCACAACAAAATGTATTTAACAGCTAAAAAAGTGGATATTGCATGATATGTCCCCTTTAAATAAGCCCTACTGTTATAAACTTCAACATTTGTTGTAATCTGTTAAAATGGCCCTATAAGAACAAATATAAAAATATATGTACCTACATCAAATGAAAATCCCTTGAAGTGCCACATTTATTTAGCAAATAAAGACACTATACCTGAGGGATGCACTATCCTTCAGTTGATAGTCTAGAGTTTATTTTTCTGACGAAAAGTTATTCAAACTTTATGTAGAGCAGAAATACCACAAAACAATGCTAACACAAAAACCAGGCAAGCTTTGTTTATTATCGACACTTCGCCAATGATCTGGTTAGGGGTTAAGTTTTCTTACTCTTGCAGGATCTTGCTCTCAGTTGTTTGGGGGAATCCAAAGTCCATCACTTCGTCCATCAGCTCATACACCGTAACAAAGTTATCACGAATACTCTCCTCTTCGAGCTCCTTAAAGTACTCTTTAAATACCTACAGGCACAACATAAGGCTTATTGGTTGAAATGGGATTTACAACTTTGTGTTTCAAAAACATTGACAGAAAATTATTTGTGCTCAGCTTTTATTGTCTAAAGTTGTTTTTTTCTTTAAAACTTTAACTTTATAAAAACTTGGACCTCAACAGGTCAAAAATGATGTATACAACCTTAGATGAATAATACTTGGTATTATTATTTAAAGTTAAATATTATTAGTATAGAAGGCTTTTTTCATGTTACATTATCAAGTGAAGAAATCAAAACAAAAAAAGACAAAAAATACATTCCAAGAGCAAAACTGCTAAATACTGGAAGTCAAGGTAGTGACCTGACAAGTATKAGAAACATTTTAATAAAAATCAAAGTCTAGATGTCTAAAACATTTTGTACCAGTTAAAGAGCTGAACTAAAACCTCCCACAGACTTACCTGTACTATTTTATAAAGAAAGGAGTATACGAGGGCAGCGTTGGCATTTTTCTTAGTCATCGCCACCACTGAAAAAAGATTTGTTAAGAAAAAAAACTCCCATTTTAAAATAAAATGGATTACAAAGAACAAACGTGTTGTAGTCTTTGCATTAAAGGGATCCACAATTAGTTGTAACATTAAACTTTATTTGATAAACACTTATTTTAACTGTAAAATAAAGACTGTAAAAATACTGTAGGCTGTTTTAGTTTTTATAATTTTTTTAACTAAAAGTTTAAAAATATAT